AAGAAGGGCCACTGGCCAAAGACTTAACAGTTATTTCTTCCCGTGGTTGACAGCTACTCGTAGCCTGGAAGGTTCTTCACAGCCGCTCTACAAGGCCCTGCCATGCCATAAACCACTCGTGGTCTCCGTGCGCCCTCCCTGCCAACCCTGAACCCAAGACCAGCTGACATCGCCTGCGTGGCTTGCAGACAGAACACTGGTGGCCCATGGAGCATGTTACTATAGACGCCATACCCTACAGCCAATGAGTACAGATAACATGAACCTGAAACACATGTCTTTAGAATTTCTGCATAAACAGGTGGACATAGCTTGGGTCATCACTCTGTCAGCGCCAACTCATGGCCTACCAAGGCCCGTGGTCGTTTATGTGCCTCGGACGGCAAAGTCGGTCGTGCGCTGAGAACGGAGCTTGAAGGCCCCTGCCCTGTTCGATGGAATCCAGCTTTTTGCCGATATCCGCAAGACTGCCCTGCCCGGGCGATGGAGTTTTCAAGTTCTGCAGCTGTATGGTTGAATTCAACAACAGCATTTACTACAGAAGGCGGTCATTCTGATGCCAACGCCCCCAGTTGCCGCCTCCCCGCACCAACCTGTGTACAAATTTTCGCTTGGTGGGAGGGAGGCCCTGTGCAGGATTTTGAAAGCTTTGCTCTAACAACAGAAACGTTGAGAGTTGAGACCTCGTGGAAACTCAGTAACACAACCGCCCAAAGCTTGAAACATCTTGAAACCATGTACCTTTAGGACCCGAAAAGCCAGGCGGTAGAACCAAGCAAGTCTTACCCGCCTCCCATGCCAAACAGAGCCTTCAGCCACTCAGGGCCTGAAGAATGCCTTCAAAGAGCCGACTCTGGATCAGGCCGTTGGGGCGGGGGGGAAGCGAACTGCGAGGCTTGCGAATTCAGTTTCGGGATCCATGTTGCAAATCCTCGATCTCTCCGCCCACACTACTTGTGCTGCTGCAGCTTCACGCTTTGCAAGTGCTCTGTCCTGCTCCGGCCCCCGTAGCAAAGCCGTACAGCCCCGACAGATTCATCAAGCAGGTGACCGCGATCTTGGAAGGCATGGCGATAGCTCGCCACACTTACGACGAAGCCTACAAGGTGCCTCGGGGCTCAACCTCTGGTGATTTTGGGCCTTGGCACAGCTGCTGACAAGGTCGTCGGGGAGACTGGAGCGATGCTGCTGGGTGAGGCCTTCGATGCGTTGCAATACATGCCTCAACCCTGAAACCCCAAAAACCCTCAAACCCCACCTTTCCTCGAGATGGGGCTTGCTGTGGCCAAGTGCTTGCCATGCCCAACTTGTACCTGCCACAGCGAGATGGAAGCTTGCAGCAGAAGGGTCCAAGCTGGGTCTTAGAATGTCAGAAGTTTGCAGGGGACGGAGTCTGAAATCGCGGAGTTCGGATTCGCACTGTCCCTCGCCGTGCAGCGCGCACCGATGCTCGGCCATGTTAAAGCAATCCGTGGTCAGGTCATTTTTTGAAAGGACATGCGTAAGCTTCAACCAGCATGTTCACCTCGGACATGAGCTTCTGGCTTTGTTGCTGCCCAGGAAGCAGTGCTTCCTTACCCTGAAGGAGGGTCTGTCCCCTCAGCTGCAAATACTTACTTCGGTTGCGATGTAGGAAGTAGCAATGCATGGCCAATTTTCGGTTGCATCAAGGGGGTAGTGCAGAGTGAAGAAGGTCTTGCCGGGTCGCTGTTTAGACCTAGCAGAGGCCTGGCCATTGATTCCAGTTCTGTTGGACGGCTAGTTGTCTTCCAAATTCCTACCTTGGGTGAAGTTGTAAATGCAACCTGTCCGACGGCATGCATAGGACTCAACTATGTCCGAAAGCGTTGCATGCCCACGCGTCTAGCGATGACCAACTAGTTTGTGTCGGACTTTGGTATTCAAAATTGAAGCAGTTGTCGAGTTGACTAGGGCGAAGAGATCCGAAGAGCACATCCATCATGGATCGTCCAAGACTGTTCATAGACGCACTTGTAAGCTTTACTCCAGCCACCGAGCCCTGGTTCTGAGACTTGCAGCAGTGGTTTGATGAGGTAGCGAGTCATTTGGCCCTGGACACACTTTGGGCAGAAGGCTCTGAAAGGGAGTCAGAAGAAATACACGCAGGGTCGCAAGGGGAGCGAGGCATTCACGTTTTGCCCAGAACCACTAACCTCCGAACCCGAAAGGCGTGGGGTTCACGGTGTCAGGAAGCTGTTGGGAGCACCCAGCACCCTTTTTTGTGCTCAGGCAGACCTATCTGGAGAACGTGCCGGGGTTATCAGTTTGCCTGCTGCTGGGCTTGGAGAAGTCAGGTTGACTTCCTTCACTCATTGAACGATGCTATGTCCTTGCCGAAGATGTTGCAGTTCAAGCATGTGGCACCCGGCAACTTCATTGAAGCCCTTGTTGGGCTATGGTTGAGGCTGTGAGTTTTTTGTGCGATGCTGGCGTTCAGGGGGTTTTCTGCAACAGTGGGAGAAACCGCGACTGCTCCCTTCTCAGACCTGGAAAGCGAGGCTCGCGTGGGCCTGCGCAGAGGGCGGCTCTCCACTGCCGGAGCTGTTCGGAGTGCCCTCGGCCGAGGCTCGAGATTTAGGGCGATGTTTTCTTGTTCATTCATCGAATCTTTCGACTCTAGACTGGACTCTAGACTCTAGACATGGGGTTCCGGGGATTATGGCTGCAGGGACTTTCCTCTGAAGTTTGCGGTCTCAGGACTTTGTAGCTTCTTGGTGGGTGCGGACACGCGCGGGGAAGAAGCGCTTGCCTTGACTATTGACTATTGCTTAAGTCGTAAAACACGGTTCAAGGGCTTGCCCACCGGTTTCTTGGTGACTTCAGCAATTACCTTCGCCGCCTTAAACCCGGAGTGCCCAACTTCCCGGCCAAGCAAGGAGCGTTACAACAACTAAGCTTGGGGCTCCAGCGTGTGCGAGCCATGGCTTCGACCTAAGACTGGAGGGCTTGCCAAGCTGCTTGTCAACGACTATGCCAACATCGGCTTCTCGTGTGGGTCTTGCGTGCAAGTACTGGAGATCATCCACGGCGACCCCATTGAAGGCGGGTCGTCCATCAAAGTCGCCTTCGGCGAGGGGCCCTGCGTGCCCTGCCAGCGGGCCCTGCTGCAGTGCAGTGCCGGATCCACCACTGGCACAACCAGTGTCAAGACCACCTCAGGTGCAGCGCCAGGACCTGCCACAAGCAAAGGAGCCGCTTTTCTACTTTTTGCACGAGCCCTCTCGCCTCATCTGCCTCCGACTAGTGAGTTCAGCAGAGCTGGGCTAGGTTGCGTTCAACTTGGTGAACGCAATGCTGGCAGCATTAGTTCACCGGATATTCTCCGGGTCGATGCCAACCGAGACGAACGCCCGATTTTGGGGCAGCTCCACTCCGCTCGGAGACCTAGTTCGCACTAGCCTCGATTCAATGCTCCGACGGCAGTCTCCTGAGTGCTGTCGGGCTCGAGTCGAACAAGAAGAACCGCACCAGGGCGGTGCACCTCTCCCTGGCTGGCATTCTTACTCGCCAGGTACTGCACCATTTTCGGGTGCTGGAGACCCTGTTATAGTGAAGGAGGCCCGACAGCTCACAGAGCGCGCTGATGGCACACTGCCTCCAACGCCACGAGGAGACTTACGACTTCGCCAGGCAGTGCAGTGCATTGTCTTCCACGAGAACCCGAACCTCTGGTTTAGCGTGGGCCGAATTCGTGGCGAGAACGTCTGGGCCAGGCACGACCACTGTAATGTTCAGGCAGCCCTAGCTTGCTGCTAAGTAGCCCTAAAGCCTCTGAGACTGCATCTCGTCACTTTGGTAGACATTGTGCTGGATTTGGCCTGGCCGCCTGCAGTCCACAAGCGAAGCCCGCAGAGCAAGCTTGGCAAGCTCCCGTCTGAGTGGTTGCACTGCAGCCGCAGTCTATGAGGGCTGCCTTTTCTAGCCAAGTTCCGCGGAAATGTATCCTATCGAGCAATTCCCATTCTGGAAGGGATGCATAAGCTTCGGTCGTTTCAATCGACTACCCTGGCCTGACAGTGAAGGCCCAGCTGGGCTCGTGACGTTCAATGCACAATTACATGCTTACTCGTGGAATCCCCATGAGTGGACGATAGTATCCTTCAGATGGAGACCTTGGAAAGCTTCCTTGTCGTTAGCTGCGTGCCAAGCGGTTTCAGTGATTTGAGCAGGTTGGTAGTGGTTTTGGATTGTTTACTGCCTGAGTTCGGCCGTCGAGCGCGAGTGCAAAAACTTGGTCTTGAGGAACGTGCAGGAGTGATAGCTCAGTATGTTCTTGCAGCGTTGTTGATGTTAGGTTGAGCCGGGTTCGATAGTGTTTTGTTTGAGACCGACTGGGCTGCGGCCATTGCGACCTGCATTGTCAGTGCGCGTGACGGCTGTGCTTCATCCTCAGTGTTTGGATTTATATTTGGTCTACACGGTCATCGGAGTTGGGTTGGTCTGTGTTACGAGGAGCCTCTCGCGTACTGCATCGTTGTAGTCTTTCAGTGTTACGCCAGACTTGTGGATCCTTGCCTGCCGTGTGAGCCGTGAGCGTCGGAACCCCATGAGCCCTGTAGTATGCCGTCACCTTCAACCCCTCAACACAGCCACCAATTTGTTGACAACTGAGCTCCTCCTACTGGTAGTCTGGGACGGTAGAGCAACCTTCAAAGGAACCTGTGATCTCGGGATGCTCCTATGAACTTCATGTCTTAGTGGTAGTGTCCCCGATTGAGGACTCAGCGACAGCCACCGTGAAAGGAGCTATTCATAAGAAGTGTTCATCAGGGAGTGGGTAATCCTTGGCCCAGCTTCGGGAAGCTATGCTGGCAAATAGGTTTTTCGACTGCAACTTCTATGTGCCCTTTGGGTTTACGTTTTATGTCTCGGGTGTGTTGACAGGTCCTTTCGTCATCGTTGAGATTATTGTGTCTTCTTCTAATGGCCCCACAACAAGTTAGCTGCAGTCAGCTCCTTATACATCCCGAAGCCGTGCGATGAAGTTGAAGGTGCCTGGCGACTTGGCCGAGCACGTTTGGTCGACCTGTTCATCCGTGGCTTCCGAGACCAAGCGCCATAGCTGCAGTGGCAACAAGCTTAACCTACCCACCGGGCCAAGACCAGTTGGTGGAATAGTGGCTCAGTCGAAGATGTCTTGCTCTGACGTCTGCCGATATCCGTCCCATCACATGGCAGGTTGGCTCCGAGCACGCACATCACAGCATCCACTCTCGATCCCAAGCCCTGAAGCGCAAGGCCGCTAGCCTGAGTGCCTTAAGCTGAAATCCTTGGACTCTGAACCGCCAGAGCACCCACCGAACCGCCTAGAAGCCTAAGACCACCCCGCGTTCCAGAGCGCTGGACTCTTCAGCTGTTTCTATGGTCGAAAGCGATAAAAAAAGCTCAGGACCCCTAACCACAAAAAGATACGATCCTAGGTCCATCAGCACAACTCCTCAGAGCTCCGAGCCCCGCCGGCCAGGAACAAGTTGGTCGCGGGCTGGCCCTTACCCATCGTGGAGGCATCCGGAGTCCTCTCCGAGCTGCAGATGACTTCACTGGTTGACCTGGCTGATGAGCCCCTGGGACCCTGTTAACGGGTTTGAATTCGGAGAAGCAGAGGTGTGGCTCAGCGATATACCGTGCCTGGGGGATTCGGTTTGGAGATCTAGCGATTCCATTGTTGCAATATCACGTCGTCAGGGTGCGAGCGTCAAGAAGCCATCTGTGTCTGGGCCGTCGGATCTCAGCATAGGCAGCTACAGTGAGGGGCGCTCATGGGTCAAGGGTAGTTTGATACCTGTAGTAATCTGAGGCTTGTGTTTGCTGGGAGGCCTCAAAGCCTCAAGGTTCGACATAAACGAAACTCGTAACTTAAGGGGGCAAAAATGTCAAAGTAACTACATGTTCACGACGGCCTTGTCACCCCCTTTTTTGTGTGTAGCACCAAACCCTTCCGAAGCCTACTCTGGCTAATATCCGTTTGTCTAAAATTTGAGACAGGAATGATCTCTGGCGGCCCTCGGCGCGGCGTGGTGGAGCCGCCCTGGAGGGCTCCCCGTGGACAGCTTTGCTAAGCTGCAGGGCATACTTTATGCAAAGAGAGACGGGGCTTCATGTTGCTGCTGATGATCTCAAGTACACTTGTCTAAGAGTGTAGAGGTTCCTGACTCACGAATGTACTGCTTGAATAAACACGAGCTTCCAGTCTCCACCTGCCTTTGTTACTCGTTGGGCGCGCGTTGAAAAGACCTGAGAAACGGAGTCGAGACCCCGAAACCTCAGCAAAGGCTCGCCAGAGCACCGGGATCATCCTACAGCCAGGGCCCTGCGGCAGTGGACGGCAGAACTGTTCAAAGCTCCCATGGAGAACGTGGAAGCAGTGCGATTGATCCGGCAGCTTCAACTGTGATAGCACCTGGCGTTTTCTATTGTTAGCTTGTGGTTAGAGGCTCCTGTGTCTGCGACTCAGAACTTCATTGATCTGGAGCAGGTATCGGCAAGGCGAGGGTGCCCTTGCCGCGCATGCAGATGCAAGGCCTGACGGCGACACGAGCCTGTGGCTGAGCGGGCAACGACTCGCCACAGTGATGCTGCAGCTGGGAGCTTTGCCCGATGGAGCTGGCGGCGATCTGCTTTTCCCTTTGCTGGAGGAGGGTGGAGGAAAGCAGGTGGGCAGCTGCTGGATACATAAACCTCCCGACTGGGTAACGATTCCTCCCAGATCCTCCCCCTATGCCACTAGCACTGGCAGTCACTAGCAGCTAGCAGTCAGGTAGCACTCCAGCCTGGGAGTGCCCTGGTGTGGCCAACCATTGACCGCGATGGCCACCCAGAGAAGCGGGCCGCACGACAGGCTCTGCCGCTTCAACTGGATGCGACGAAGTATGTGGCTATGACGCTGGGATTGCAAGATCGGCTTCCTAGTTTAAACAGCGTATGCGGTCGGCACATTCGCAAGCACAGCGCCGACACGAGAGCGACAAAGGGCCACAAGAGTACGTGATATGTAAATGTATGTGTATGTATATATATATATATATATGCGAATGTTCATATAAGGCACGAAACGATACGTGTCATGTCATGCTGTACTCTTGGCACCTGTGCACATCAGATCATCTTGCCTCAACAGAGAACACCACGAAAATGCTTCCGAACATGCACCATCTCGAATTTGAGGGAAAGCACTTGGTAGAATAGTGGAGGGCACGGCGGACGTGCGCGAACATTTTTTGGTCTATTATTCTGATATCGGAAAACAACTCCTGGCGAGGGCACTGTGATGCGTCACGCATTGGAGGTGGGCACTTCAGAGCTATTCTGCGGGACACTCTGGGCTCGGGATCCCTCGGTTCACTGCCCAGGACTTGGCTGCGCACTGGACCTGCGCCAGGTGAGCCAGGGGGTGTGCCCGGATGAGGACCGCAGGGGCTTAGGACTTCAGGGTTGGATGATTGTTGATTCCTTCAGCGCGGTACGGGTTTCACATTCAGGGCTTCAGGCTCCAAATCCGGCACACAGCTTAAGCAGCAGCATCCAGGCAGAGGAGGCTTTGCATCAGCCAGAACTTCGAAGACAAGGCCCTCGAGAAGTCGGTGAAGGACGTGAGCCCCAATGCGGACTGGACACAGCATCCTGGCTGCCCGCAGCCCCCGAAGCCTTGCTGCTGTCTGGACCATGGAGACCACGGCTGTCACACAAAGGATGTGCAAAGGAGCGAGCAGCGCGGGTCGAAAAAAGAATCAGTCGCTCGGGGCAGGTTGGTCGGTGCCAAGTCTTGATTATGCAAAGTGCTCGACCGAATTATGATCCCATTGAACACATGCGATTATGTAAGTTCCGACGATTCCCATGCCCACAGTTCCCAACCTCGGTGTTCTCTGGAAATCCATAGTTTTTCCGGGACAGCCACTGCCTACCCAAGCTCCACAGTCGCCAAACTTGCAACCCAAAAACTCAAACAGCACAAACAACCTTGATTGTCTCATCTTGGCAGGCAGTGCGCACTCCCTGGCCTCCAATAGCTTCGGAGCATGGCCCCGGCAGGAGACCTGAAGCAAGATGCCGAGTGAGCGGCTCACAAACTAGCAGCCTTTTGGGGCCGGTCACGGGCCCAAACATGCCTACGAAAGATCCTGCTATTCAGCTTGATGCGTGTTTCACTTCATCTACAGATGCGAGAAGCGTGGCAGAGATGCAAAAAAGGCAGTGGTAGACACACTTTTCTATGTCAGGCACAAGCCTCCCCTTGACATCGACAATCTACAAGGTACCTAACTTCCGCTCCAACGCGTAAACCCTCACCCCTTTAGTAATCCTGGCAGGCCTCGTACCATGTGCATTGCTGATCAGGCGCAAGGCTACGAGGATGTTGTCCGGCACCTCCCGAAGCTGGACGCCGCCCTGAAAGGCGGCGGCATCTGTCTCGAGTTCCTTTTGGGCTGAATAGCTGGTCTAGGAGGGGGTGCTCAAGCAGGCTTCGGCATGGCAGTCTCCGCTCCGCGCCCAGAGTCATGAAGGAAACCACCGGGCTCAACCCACAGTCTCAGTCCCAAAGTGTGTGGCCAACCATCTCCACTAGTGCTGCCTGCCAACACGTGCACCTTGGTGCCGAAATGGTCTTCAGGGGTTTTGCCAAGGCTCTGAAAGCTTCGGGCGAAGTACGCACTTCGAGGGGACTGGTTTGCTTTTTGTTTGTGTGAAAGCATCTCTGAGTGAAGCCTTCATAGGAAATCCTTGATTGCAGTGGATTTGTCAAGACTTGGGGCAGTCGTGGCAGTAGCACTACGCTCACCAGTGCCAGCGATGTACTAGTGCTAGCACCCCGCGGCACCCCGCCCGCGGATTCTTCAACCAATATGCGCTTGTGGAAGGCGGAACGGAGAAACTACACACCTGGAAGCACACAGCTCCTCGGAGTTCCAGCAGTGACCGGAAACCTCAAAAGCACAGATCTTGCACCGCCTACGCCCCTGCTCTTCGTCTCGCCAGATTCGCCATCTGCGACGCTGGAAGATCTCTATTCAGCGCTTGCCTGCTGCAGCCGCCGGGGCCCGATGGACCATGGCCACCATCGTCTCATCATCGTGGGTTTCCTGTGGCAGCTTTTTGTCATGCACATTCAGACTTGCACGTGGTCGAAGATAACGAAGAGGAGTTCCCTGCAATGTCACGCTCCACCCCCGAGCCCAAATCGAGACCACTCGCTCCTTGCAGGTTGTGATGAGCCCTGCCGCTTTGAGGGAGCCTGCGACTTGGGAGCTGGGATGCTTCTGGCGGGCTTCGGATGGTTTGCGATGCTCGTTGTAAGCTGGAAACACTTGGAACTGGGAGAGTGAGTAAGCAGCAGGTGTGCTTGTCTGAACATGGCAGCCTTCAGACAGGAACCACGACCATCATTAACGGGAGGTTTGTGCCAAGGTCGGTTTGGGGGGATAAGTCTTTAGAGTGCTAAAAGCATTGCTTCATCAAGGGACCACATATGCAGTTAATCGAGTCACGGTAGTTCCTGCGCAGCTGGGCATGCGTCTCGCCGTCGTCGGCTCGCCAAGGTTCCAGCAAGGCTTTGCACAAGAGCCTCCAGCAGGGTATAAACCTCCAAGCGCGGTTTCGGCTGATGTGGAAGCTGTGTTGAACATGGGGGTGCAGCCTTAGCTTGTCGGTTAGAGAAGTCGGGCTCGGAGTTGAGGTAAGTAAGTTTCAATCAAACGGCTTGCGATGGCTGTTTGGTGGTTCGCCACGCTGGGGCAGCTCCCCTGCACTCATTCTGGATGCACAGCTCCCCCATAAGATAAGAAGGGCTTGTTTGCACAGCCTAGTTGCAAAGACGTCAAACCAGGTCGTTTCAGCGCACGAAGTGGCCGCAAGTCGATCGTTTGTCACATAAAGCCGCAAGCCCCGGAACCCGAAATCTGAGCCTTCAGCTACTTGCGTTTGGAGATGTTTGGCCCCAAACCTTAAAGAACGAGGCCTCTGTGTGGGTTGCTGTTTCTTCGAGCACGGGCCAGCTGGCTCCTGCAGCCGCCGACCTGTAGCCAATGCGCCACCCTTCCGACCTGTCCTCGCCTGCAGAGTCCGAGTCGCGAGAGTCCAAAGCGAGCCCTGTTGGGGGGCGGTGTGCAACACTCGGGAAACCACCATGCTAAACCCTGAGCCGGCCCCCAACAACCTCAAACCCCGAACCCCAAAGCACGACTCCGAAACTAATACCCCGAATCAAGAATCGAAGTCCTAAGGCCTCAAAGCCTAAACCATCCTAAACTCGAAAGCCCAGCACTTTTCAGTCTTAAACTCCGGGCCGTCAGAGAGAGAGAGAGAGAGAGAGAGAGAGATAGCGAGAACGAACCCCCAAAACCAAGGCTCGGCCTTGCCTTGGGCCTTGACCCCGCTTTGCGGCAGGTGCCTGGGGTGAGAGGTCATGTTCCTGTAGATGAGGGATCAGGGTTGAGTTCTGTTGGTGTTTAAGTTAAGGACTTCACGGCCGAGGGTTCAGTGGCTCTGAATATTTGTGGGGGGGGGTTCGGCTCCTCCTGTTTGAAGAACCAGCCATCCGTGAACTTCTCACAGACAAGGTCGTCGATGGAGCCAGAGAAGCATCCCAGAACGCATCGAAGCAGGCTGCAGGAATCCTGTCTGCTGCCTGGCACGAGGTTCAGCTTAGAACGCAGGCAATGAGCCTTTCGTCATGGACGGGTGCGTCTCCGAATGTAGCACACAGAAGTCGGTGTGGGTCTGAGTCTGCGGTTTGCCGCTGGTGGTCTGAAGGTTAAGAGATAGAAGCAGGAGACGCTCAGTTCAGCCATGTTCAGCCTCAACAATGGCATGGCGCAGCGACACGTACCAAGATGGGGTATGGGTGCCGCAACTAAGGAGCTCTTCGATACGCACTTATTCCGCATGGAGCTGGCATTACAAGGCTGTACCCGCACCACCAAATCGTTTGCCCGGATCCAGTAGACCCGGTGAAAGGCAACTTCGTTATTGAGAGACCAGTCACCTCTGCCGCAATCACATATCATCCATCATTACCACCTTAGTTGGGGGTCACTGCCGGCTGGAGAGCACGTATTGTAGACAGGCTTCACCGACTCTCTCTGTCGTTCTCTCTCTCTCTCTCTCTCTCTCTCTCTCTCTCTCTATCTATCTCTCTCTCTCTCTCTCTCTCTCTCTCGGATGCTGCACAAGTCTCCTTCCACTCAATTCGGACATCAGTTGAACTCTCAGCATCGGTGCTTCCTTTCATCGACTGCCGTCTCTCTTTCCCCTGAACCCTAAATGCCATGTAATATCCGTTTCTGCGCGATGAGGTTTCGACCTCGTCTTGTGCCCATATGCCAGACATCATCATCGTCACCGCCATCGTGTGATGATGTTGCTGCTGCTGGTGATGCTCCTGCTGCTGTTCCACGATGACGACGAACGACTGGCACGCGGAGCAGTCACACGGAAGTACTACATCATTCTCGGGGGCGTAAACGCTGAGCAGGCGGTGGCAAGGGGAGGCGCTTGGCTTCCCTGCCCACCGACGTGCTGCTGGCCGAGGTGGAGGAGACGAATACCATGCCGCAAAACCTGAAGCCCCAAGCCCCAAACAGGCGATGGCACGCCCGTTCGGGTTTGGAGACGTGGGGTTGGTTTAGGGTCAGAGTGTATTCGGAGGATTTTGGAGGCACGTGCTTGGACCGGAGGGAGGGAGACGAGCAGTCTTCAACCTTCATAACTTGGAGCTCTACCGCCACTCTACCGTACGGTGCTCCGGACAGGATGCTCTCAAGTCCTTGGAGTGGGTGACGAACTTCGGCTTGGACGTTGACAGCCTCAAGCAGCACCCAGGAGAATCTGCAGCTTGGCTTACCTTAGGACCTCTTGTGCGCATTGCAGATCTTGCAGACCGTCGGGTTGTATTTACAAGTCTCATGTCGCCTGTGTAACGCCGCTGGTGAAACTGCAGGGCTACATTTCTGGACTGACGGTTCACGATTTCCATTAGTCGCTCGAACCGAATCTGTAGCGAAGGGTAAGCATTCCAAACGCCTCTCCGGAGTATGTGGCGTTTGGCTGATGAGAAGTGATGTTCTAGGGCAACCGATGCCACGATCTCACCTGGCAGAATACGGTTCTGGTATGGCTGCTGTTCGAAAGTGCGTTGAACCATTGGGTCTCCAAGCCCATGAAAGAAGGCGACCCCGCCCGAGGCCCTGTCCATCGACACGGTGGATGCCTTTGGCGGACGATTTCCAGGAATCTGGGAGCTGAAGGTGCGCTGATGACAAGGGTCGGATCCATCTTCGGTTTGACTTTGTCTATACAGGTCTTGGGCAGGGCGTGGGTGCTTCCATGTCCTGGCACAGTACGGCAGTATTCTGCGGTTATGTCAACGGCACTCCTAGTTGTGAATCTTCACGGGTTGGAGCTGTTGTAAAACCCAAGTCGCAGCTTCGCCGACGAAGCCCAGGCACTGAATTCCAGCGTTGTGGCCAATGTCTCCAGCAATCAGTGGGGTGACCTGGCATGCTCTTGGCACCACTAAGAAGGAGGGTTTGGGGAAGGGTTCCAGGTTAGGGCTAGGTCCGGTGTTGAATGCATGCTATTTGACGTGTTTTTGGTTGCTCTTTGTCTGCGATGCCTTTCAGAGTCAGGGTCAGGGGCTTCTTACTCTTGCTTTTGCTCTTGCTCTTACTCCTGCACTCGCTGCTGCGCTTGCTCTTCCTCCTACTCTTGCTCTTCCTTGCTCTTGCTTTTGCTGTTTCCTTTGCTCCGGCTCTTCCTGTTGCTCTTGCTTTCAGTCTTGCTCCTGCTCTTGTTTGTCTTCCCGCTTTGTTCTTGCTCCTCCTCGTCCTCCTCCTCTTATGCAAGTTAAGCTTTAAAAGGGCAGGGATGATTTCGTGAGGATTGGCCTCAAAGTATGTGTTTTATTAGGGGTTGATTGTTTAAATGGGGGGGATTATGCATGTTGGACGGGACGCAGCCCTGGACGAACGCGAGAAAGAGAAGAGCTGTGATAGACGCCACGCCTTGAACCTCTCCTTGCAACAAGACAGGTTTCCAGCTCCTTCGAGCCGGCAATGAGAACTCTCCGATAAACCTAAGCCCAACCTCCCCAAAAAAATCGTGGACTTTGTGTTGAGTCGTGACTGTGTAATCTGTTAGCAGTCACAAATGTTTTCGACTCCAGTTGTTCTCAAAATAATGCGGCGATTGGTGAAAATGCCACCTCACTCTGGGATTGTTTCAGGATTCTGGCCCCTTGTTGTTTGCATTCTGCTTGATCCCTGGCAAATCCGGGCAGCGAAGTTGTTCGTCAATCAGTCATGTCGCTGATTTTAACAGCATGTCCCCCCGAAAAGACTATGCTAAGTTTCAACGACGAAGACTGGACCAGAACCACTTTAAGATTGGCCAGCAATCCCAAGCCATGCACTCTAAAGCCGAGATTCTGCAGCCTCTCACCTTGAATCGTAACTTTCATGGTGCACTCATTCGTCAATAGGACATTTCTCGATGCTGTTTGATTCGCCGACCCAAACCTGACAGGCGCAACTTACCCCCAAACCCTGGAGCCCTGAACCCTGAAGACCTGCAGGAGGCAAAAGCCGTAAACCCGGAGGGTATGGAACTATACTTCTAGCTCCTTCGTGTGTCAGGCATCCTCGAGGCTGCCGAGCAAGGCCAGCTGAGCCTATGTGGGAGTTTCCGAAAATAGGGGACGTTAATCAAACTGCCCTAAACAGTAGGAGCCTCATTATAAGGACCCCAAAATAAGGTACCCCGAAATCTCGGAAACTCCCAAGCAGGGCTTGAAGGCTCAGGGTGTTCAGTTTTGGGTTGATGTGGAGAAAGGCTTGCCCAGAGCAACTTCGGATTCAGGCTGGCCGGCCTGATTTTGATGAGTTCAGGGAAGCGCTCGGGGTGCAGGGTTTGGGAAGTGGTCATATGAGGTGGTGATCGTAGCTACAGTAGCTGTACTGTTCATTTCATTTTAGTATAAACTGAGTGCCGAAACAAAGGTTTGAAGCCCAAATGACAACAAGTTCTCGAGGTGTGCGAACTTCCTTAGAACGGATTGTTTTCTTTCATAGGCCCATGTCTTAGTCCCTCTTCTATTTTGGAGCCGGGGGTGGAATCTTCTACGTTTTGGAACAGAGGTTTTGAGTTCAGAGTTTAGGGTTTCAGTGGGTTTGGGGCTGGGCATAGGCTTGGATTTCCAACTCAGAACAGGTCTGGCCCAAAAGGCACTGTGTGCGAC